TCCTTCATACGAGCTCTGTTTTATACGTTTTTATATCCACTGAAAGCTCTCAACAAGTTCTACAACTTTCCTTTAGACCTCAAAAGCTATTTCTCACTTTATCAAAAATTTATATTTTTGATAGGCTTAGCCTTCTAGAGATCGTTGCAGAAAGCATAACTCTTACATACAGGTTCCATTCTCAATGTTCCTTATATCGACGGACTCCCCGTTGACGAGATCTTCGATTCTCGTTTAGATTATTTGGAATAATAATCCAACTTTTCCAAAAGTCGATTTTTTTTGTTCGTACACTACTGCGCTGAAATTTAGAAAAATCATAATTTCCTCTCTTATAGTCAGATTTGGACGTTCTAAATATGTACGAGTTCAATTTTACGAGTACTACATCTTTCGTTAAGACCACTATGGTTAATGATTTATCTAACTGAATTTTGAATTACTATTAATCACGAATATTTACCGGAACAATAAAATGGGGTGTTACAATGGATCTAGAATGTTATTATCCAGAGTTCTTATCCGGAAAAGGGGTTCTGAAATTTTGATCCGAAATTTTGATTTGGATGTGTGATCCGAAATTGTGTATTACAAAACTGTCCTCCAGAACATACATACTAAATTACCTAATTAATGATTCTTTTTATCGTAGCCTGATAGAATATACGAAGCAGTTGTGACTACAACCTATAGGGCTAAACTCGGGAGGGAAATCAAAGTCATGTTACAATACAAACCAGTTTGTGCAGCCATGTTTAGGCAATCATGTTTTGGTGATTATGTTCACATGACAATGGGTGTAAAATATCACCCTTTACTCTATCACTATCTTATATGGACGGAATACATTACTTTACTTCAAGTTGACCTACTGGAGTTTCTATTTTTGGTACAAGACTATTGGGTTTGCTTCAACAAGAAAGTTTTCTACCTGATTACCAGCTTGCAGTTCAGGGACTATTTCCCCTAGTTTTGATTTTTCACGCTTCAAACAACATGTATTTCCATTTATGCCGCCTTCACGTTCGGTGATAATGGTTTTCCTTATTCACATGCTTAATTACTTACTTCATCAGTTAGGTGATGCAGACACGGTGAGAGTCAATGTGTTATTTACGGTAGAGCAGGGAATTTTGGGGAAATACCATTAACGGTCGGTTACTAATGAACGTCTTGCAAACGTCACTAACTTAGATGAGTTTAACAGGTATATAGTTATTTACTTACATTAGATCAAATGATACACATACTTATTAAGTGAAATTGTTGACACAGATACCCATGGGGCAAAGTGATATGCGATTTCACTTATAAACACTTGCGTACTATCTTTGATAAGATTGATGTGCATTTGAACCCCACTTAGGCAAGATTCGACAGTAGACATACATACACTGTGTAGGGATTTTTCTATGCATTTAAGGTATTTCGACTATGTTTCATAATATTTTTTAAGAAAAAATTGTTGTAAAATGTTGGTTACTTGTTTGACATCTTAATTTTGTATATTTGGATCATGGAGACATTTCCCAACAATTGTATAGTTGGTTCCCCTATACCGGGTGTTATCCCTTAGGCTGTTGCATACCCTGCAATGAGGCGTTTATACGCTATTGATTATGAATGTATTCTTGATGTTAGAAATGTATGTAGAGTAGTTCACCTTATAATCTATACGTTTCTATGAGAAAATAACATAACATTAACCTTTATATATTTTTTTATGTACCCCCCCCACCCAATGAATTGTTGCAGCTTACTTAGCAGGATCGTGTTGCTTTGTGGTGGACGGAGAGTACCCCGTGGATAGATGTTGCACATTATGTTGATATTTGAGTTATGGTTTTTATTGTGCATGTTTTAAACAATTTACTAATCGCCATGTACGAAAAACAAGTTTATCCTTCCAAGTAATATTTTTTACAATATTATAATTTCATACAAACATCACTACAGGTTTTTTGGATAAACAGTTTCATAGTGTTTAATACTTTTTTAAGTAGTTTAAACATTAGATCTACTCTTAGACTTAATTTTATTTTTGACACTTGACTTGGTCCTACTTGAAGATTCAGTTTATGTTGAATCTATGGGAAACTGAGTATCACAGTTTCTACTTGTGTAACTGATCATTTGGCAACGACTGCATTTTTTCTGAATCGGGCCTTCATCTTGGGATGGGATACAGTTATGGTTTCGTGGTTGTCCACCTTGTCGTTTATCCATCAATGGTGGTAATACAACCATGACTTCATCCAGTTTTTTGTATTCAGCTGGAACTGGCACAAGAAACACAACCTCTATATATGTTGATTGATATGTTTCCATTGTGAAGTACGATGACACCTATATACTGTAATGATAATATCTCAGTTCCTTCAATACCACCATATCATGAGAAGAAGGTATACATGACAATTTGTATTTCCTACACATGGAGCAACGAGATTCCACGTTTATTATACCATTTTTCATATGGTCAGTCACATCATATCTGTATTGATCAACCTAGTATATATGAAAACATGAGGATTTGCTGATCTTCTTATAGATAACCTTCTCAACATACCGAGTAATATCTTTTTTTCTTTCAGCTATGAAATACATTTATATATATATATATATATATATATATATATATATATATATATATATATATATATATATATATATATATATATGTTTTCATGCACACTAAATTATACTACAATTATCATGGAAGTATTATAATATAAATAGTTACCTCCAGCATTACGTCGCTCACATCACCGTTATTGCATAGTTACTCGAAAGAAATCAATCAACATTGTTATTGGTAGTTTCTGTGTCTCTTGATAATGTATTGATGGACTTGACACTGTTTGATGTCATAATATTATACCAAACAACATGGTAACATGATTTTTCCCATTTCTCATAACTGATTCTCTCTAGCGATGTATGCCAATCTTCATTTAGTGCACGATGTAGCCTACCTAATCTTTCTTTGAAATCAGACTGTCGGTAAGCTTTTGCAGCCTCCAAAACAAAATATTTATTCTCTCTTATTTTCCGATCTTTGTTCTTATATTCATCAACACACGCTGATAGCAGAGTATGTGATATGCGTTTGGGAACACAACTTGAATGGCCATTTCAATTGAATTGACTCTATTAGATATGAAAGCCAAAGAGGGCATGTCCCTAATACATTCTTTGAGTCCTGATAAAATCCATATCCATGACTCCCACTTTCAGTTTTCCTAACACCAACTGCAATATGGAGGATTTGGTAGGATATGGTTATCATGCCTACTGCTAGGAACATCGTGCCCAAGTATTTCCCTTTAAGGTGTGCTCCGTCAATGATAATAATAGGACGTAAACATGTTTGAAACACTCGAACCTAAAAAGTAGTTAATATTAATATATTACTCATTAAACGTTCACATGTGTAATAACAATAAATATAAAGAACTCATTATATAAGAAATATTACCACGCAACTGATAGCTATGAAAAAGTATTAAAATTTGTTGTCATAACTTGTCTTTATATGTTTAACCGTCCCTGGATTCTTCTTCTCAAAGTTAAAACAATATAAATGTAGTCTTTAAAAGCTTTCTTCAGGGGTCCCTTTAAGCAGATTTAGAGCATACATTTTAGCACTCCAAGCTTGCCAGTATGAAATATGTACACTAAAACGACCATTTAAAGTTCGTTGTATCTGTTTCCACTGCAACATATTACCTGTACTATCAGCTAATATGTCATTCAAGAAGTCACCGAAAACCTTTTTGTTCGTTTGTTGATAATGGGGAAATAGTTGTGTGTTTGAGCAAGTGTGTCTCTCTGATAGTTTAACCACTTGAAATGTATCAGTGGTATTTTGTTTTGTTGCCCGTATCCGCCAGTCATAATTTTCCATAAATTATACAGTTTCAAACCTATATTTTGTAGATTTTGACACATTATATTGGAAGCCTTCAGTAACACTTTTGAATCATAATTTAAGCTTAAGTTCTTCTTTTCTTTTAAAGAGTGGGAATAACTTCACATAGAAAGTATAATTATGGTTGTAGCACCATTACGTTTTTGTTGAGCTAATGAAGGAAATGGTAAAGGTTCATGCATACTCCAATAGGTGGTTTGTGTTTCTTCAGAATCGGAAAAATAATAAGGAAACTTTTCCTTTTGTGGTTTTGGGGTTGTAAATACTTTGGAATATTGTATTCCGGAATTCGTTGAACGACCAAACTCCGGAATGGCCGTACGTACTCCAGAATACGATATTCCAAAGCAAGTTGTCATTTTTCAATAAAAAAAAAACGTGTTACTTTTATTAACAAACTTGTTTAGAAGGATTAGATTACTCATTTAATTATATATTGCATAGTAAATAGCAATGCCTTTTTTGAAATTTTGGTTATTTATATTTTTATTTCATTTAGATAGTAAACATCCAAATAAGTAAGAATGATGGTCTAAATGTTTAGAAAAGTCGGTTCTAAGTCACAAAAAAGGATGTTTGAATTATTTAGAGGAAAGATATCATATCAATTAACTACAAATAATTATAATTATTTTTTAATATTGACCTTTTTTAATATTGACCTAATAGTTATTCTAATAGTCAAGTCAGGTTATCCTTTAACTTTAGAGGATCCTCATCCACGGATTGCACATCCTAAAATTCAAAGTTGATGGACCTGTAACAGTTGTCGTTGATGGTGAAGGGTGAGGAAAACTAATATCTTAGATAGAAACGTCAACATAGGACGTCAGTGGAAATATCCAATTAATTCCAAACAATGTATCCAAATAAGAGTTTGCCACTCCGAAGGTATCCAATTAATTCCAAACAATGAGCTTCTTTAAATTCTTTGACTAACGAGAAATATTTATTCGTTGACTGTAGAAAAATAATAAATATCCAATCGATGGTGGTTGATATTTTCACCAATCATCAGAACCATATAGAATTCATATTCATTTATCTATTCCTATTGAATTATTGAAAAATGAGTAGTCTCCTCATCTACACACTTTTATGTACCAATCTAATCATAAATTGTTTTCCAGCCATTGATGTTTCAACCATCAAAGTTGGGGACCAACTCAACCGCACTTCTCAGCTCGTTTCCCCCGGTAACAACTTCACATTAGGGTTCTTCAACCATTCCGACTCAAATAACACATATTTAGGAATTTGGTACACCAATCAATCCACGAAAGTATGGGTAGCCAACCCATCAACACCAATCATTTTCCGCTCTAGTGTCCTGAGGATCGATCCTGACACAGGGAAACTGATCATCACCACTGGTGAAACAACCCTTGTAAATATCTCCGATAATCAATTTACTCCTGGGTCTAATTTGACTGCGAAGCTTGAAGACACTGGTAATTTCCAACTGAAGAACGAAACTGACAACCAGACTCTGTGGCAGAGTTTTGATCATCCAACAAATGTTCTTCTACCAGGTATGAAACTCGGGGCAAACCTTAGAACAGAGCAGAGCTGGAACTTAACTTCTTGGTTGTACGATGATATCAGCAATGATAATAGCTTCACTCCTGGTACTTTTACTTTGAGCTGGGAAGCCACTGACGAAGCATCTCAGAGATTTATTATTCGAAGACGAGGTCAACCCTACTGGACAAGTGGGAATCTAAATAATCAAACATTTCCGAACATAATGTTGAATAGTTCATTTAGCCAATACATGGATAACCTTAGTTATGTATACAGTAATGTAGAGAGATACTTCAGTTTCCATGTCGTCAGTGGAGTTCGACCCATGTGGATTTTGACTCCAGATGGTATGCTTTTAGATGGTGAAAGAAGTATGTCCTTAACCCCTTTAAGTGAGAATGAGTTTTGTTATGGGTATGAGACAAGTACCGGGTGTTTGGAAGTTCCTGGTTTGGCTCATGAGTGTAGAAGTAAAAATGCGAATTTTACTTTACTGAGTGGGGAATATCCTACTGACAGCAGGGTGAGGAGGTCGGATGCTGGTAATTCAAGCCTAAGTAGAAGTGATTGTATGATGAGGTGCTGGAATGATTGCAGCTGTCTGGCTTTTGAGGAATATGAATACGGAAATGATTGTATTACATATACCGGAGACAAATCAACCAAGCTTATAACAGATACGCGAGGATATGACAGGCAAATGTTTGTGTTAGAATCTCAAGATGCGAGTAAAGGTAGATGATCGTGATAGATTCAATGGTTTGTGGGTTATTTTTTATCTATGCGATTGCTTTAATTCTACATATAGATATTAGTGCAAGCATTTGGGCAGCTGCTGTTGCTGGGATTTTTCTACTTTTCTTTTGCTTCGGGCTATTGTGGTATCTTAAGAAGAGAAATCTTAGACTAGAAGGTATGGCGGTTTATATTAATGTTAATCCCATCTGCCTGAGTTACCCATAGTCATCTTCTAATCCATGATTTTTATTGAAGCTGAGGAGAGACAAAGAAGAGATGACGAATACTTTCTTGGTCTGATGGCTTCAGATAGCTTCCATAATGCAACAAATCTCGATAGCAATGGTAGAAAAATAAGTGAAATGATGGTGTTCAGCCACGCTTCAATAGTAGCAAGCACAAATAACTTCGCAAGCAAAAATAAACTCGGAGAGGGTGGTTTTGGACCTGTTTATAAGGTATTTTTATCTTTAATATGGGTCATGTTTTCAAAATTTATAATCTGACATAACGAGATATTATGTCTTTATGAGAAAAGGGGAAACTTAGCGATGGACAGGATATCGCAATTAAAAGGCTTTCAAGAGCATCTGGACAAGGGCTTGTGGAATTCAAGAATGAACTCGTACTTATTACCAAAATACAGCATACAAAACTTGTTCGGATTTTAGGTTGTTGTGTTCATGGAGAAGAAAAAATGTTAATTTATGAGTACATGCCCAACAAAAGTTTGGATTTTTTTCTTTTCGGTAAGGAAAAGTTATATAAACTAAATGCATGTCATGCTTTAAACTTATTAAACTACTGTTTTATATGACTTGCTAAAACATTTGAATAGACGAAAGAAGAAAGGGACTCCTAGACTGGACAAAACGATGGAACATCATTGAAGGGATTGCTCAAGGCATGCTTTATCTACATAAATACTCAAGAAGGCGAGTTATTCATAGAGATCTAAAAGCAAGTAATGTTTTGTTAGATGAAAGTATGAACCCCAAGATTTCTGATTTCGGTATGGCGAGAATTTTCAAACAACATGAGACTGAAGCAATGACCAACAGGGTGGTGGGAACATAGTAAGAACGTTTTTTCTCTTTCACTTGTCTATGTTGGATATTGTCAAATTGTCAAACTGTTCGCTTACATTATAGCATGGTGGCATAATTGTTTTTAAGCTTCAGAATTACATGAACGAAGTAACAAGAGGGGATTGTGGATATGTAGACATTGATATATATGATTTCCAAGTATTAGTGATATTTGGTTCTTGAATTACTTAACTATGTGAAACACCTTACACAGTGGTTACATGGCTCCTGAGTATGCAATGGAAGGGACTTTCTCGGTGAAGTCAGATGTCTTCAGCTTTGGAGTCCTAACCCTGGAGATTGTGAGTGGAAGGAGAAATACTAGCTTCTCATATCGTGACAAGACTGTCAACCTAATTGGATATGTAAGTTTAATTAAAATCTAAATGTTTATAATTGTATTAAAAAAATAATATGTTTAACCTGAAAAGTTAAAGTATATCTAATGATTGAAGACATTACAATGGTTAATTTTAGGCATGGGAGCTATGGCTAGAAGGGAATGCACTGGAGCTGGAGGATCCAACGCTATCCAATACTCATGTCATACATCAACTGTTGAGGACTATCCATGTGGCACTTCTCTGCGTGCAAGAAAATGCAATGGATAGACCAGAGATGTCAGACGTTTTATCTATGCTTAACAATGACACAATGTCATTACCAGTACCAAAACGACCAGCATTCTTTATTGGTAGAAGTTCTTCGAAGTCAACTTCAGATGAAAGGAAGTTGAATGACTATTCGGTAAACAAGATGACAGTTACATTAATGGAGGCTCGATAGCATGTCATAGTTCATTGTTAGTAAAATGCAATACTATTACCACATCTTATTTTATTTATCTATAATTGTACACAAATGATTAAAGTATACACTTAGATTTTTGCTTTGGAGCTTTTACTTGTGGACTGGTGGCCAAAATTCTCTTAATCTTAATGTCCGGAATGGGTTCAACCAGGGTCCTTGGTGGATATTCAGATTCTTGAACGCTTAAGTGTAGTTTCCATTCAGTTTTATAAAAAATTAGTGCCTTGGTAGGATGCTTGGGATGGATTATTCTGAGTAAAGAAAGAAATATATTAACTCACAGATGAAAAGTAGTAGTGAATGACACCTACCACAAAGGACAATTAGAGTTTCAACATCGAAAGAGGTACATCTTGGTTTGATATTTTTCTGGTAACATTTATGCTTATTTTATTTGCTCTTCCAACTTTGTCACTGCAATCGAGCTTTTTATATAGCAATGAAGTCTTAACAACTGTGATTATCCAAGTGTTAGGCAACTTAGACCGTATGAAGTTACAAGTTTAGTATTTGGTTTTTAATGTTTCACGTGTCAAGTAGTGAAGAACTTCCATTGTTTTATTTGTCCCAGCCTCTCTCATACATAGATTTAAACTTGAATTCGTACATATTCTTTTGCATTCGCGGTAGTGTTTGATAAATTTACAATCACAATTAGGCAATTTGATTATACAAATTCTTTTTGAAAGGAATGGAAATAGTCAAAGGAATTGCAATTCAAAAGAATAGGAATCAAATTGTATTGTATTTTGTTTAAAAGTAAGTGGTATGTAAAAATCAGACAAATGATGGTTTCTGTTATAATAGTTTGTTGTGGTTTCTTTTTCAATCTGAAAAAGGGTATCTTATTTGAACCTTCAATGATGTGACATATGTGTATGTCTGGCTCATGCTCACACCTACACACTCACACACATGTCCCATCATTCGGGGTTTATTTACCAATACCTTTTGAAAACAAATAAGATCCCTTGGGTTTTCCCGAAGAATGACCAATTTGTTCAAATGATGGAGTTTAGATGATATTTGGTCGATTGGAATTGAATTACATTTGACCAAATTTTGTTAACTTCCAACAAACCAAACATGTCCTTGTTTGCAACTACTTCTAATTCTAAGACAAGTTGCTAGTAAAGATGGTGCTCATACGATGTGTTGAGTTGTAGAGTCAGGTCTTCCTTTTGACATCATTGTCGCTGCAGTGTCGTTTACGACGCTCAGCATAAGGTCTACGGACTGTAGTGTTCGAAAAACAATAGAAGGTATGGACGAAATCTATGGGAAGCTCATAAAGATTTCGTCCAAGGGGCCTTCTAGAAGGGTTCCATGGGCTGCTTATGGCTTAAGCAGTCATATTAGGGTTTCCACCTAAAACCCAAGTAGCCACAAGTATAAATAGACCCCTTACCTTGTGAAAATCGGATCTGTGCTTTAAAAAACCCTAGAGGGCCGATTTTATCATCTCTCCCAAGTCTTCCTTTGCAAGAGTGTTTGTGACTCCATTAGAGGTGCAACACTTGGGGCACTAGGCTTTCAGAAGTCAAGATCAAGAAATATTAAACTTGTTATTGCTACATAACAAGAGAGGTGAAGTTTCTAACCCTAATCATATGTGATTGTCAATATATGTATGCTAGTCATAGGGTTATTGCTTTGGTATTCATAGTTGTATGTTCAAATTAGAAATACCTAGATCCAAAGCAATTAGGGTTGCATGTACACCATAGGAATGATGTTATGCTCAAAACCCAACAGTGGTATCAGAGCCTAGGTCGTTTTTCTATTTAATAGATGCAAAAGTGAACTGCCAAAGATCAACAAATCGAAAAACTTGTTGTGTGACTGGCTGACTCGTCGAGTCCATGTATGGACTCGACGAGTTTCATGAACTCGACGAGTTCCATAGTGGGCTCGACGAGTTGAGTGACCTGGTCCCAGGATTTTCGATTTTCTGGCCAGATTTATATTAGGATTATTACCAAAACTCGTTTTTCTTGCCTAAATTCGATTTTTTTATGATTGGTATGGATATCCTTATCAAAACTGGTGGATATTGTTAAATATGGATAATATAGAATTATTTTGATTCAAATATTTAACGTATAAATTTAAAAAAAAAAATTAAATTACACCATTTAGGTTTTATAGTTTAAATTTGAAATTAAAAGTTTTAGTTTTTTTTGAAATTTAAATAGTTAAACCTTAATATTTTGAAAGGTTTCAAAATTTGCCCTCAAGTTTTGGAATTTAAAATTTAAGTATAATGTAGTACGAAGTAACTAAACACTTTTATAAATTCCAAAATCTTAGTTACTTTAGGAAAAATGTGAATTTGGTGCTAATCCATGAAATTGCACATTACACCTTATTGGTCGTTAGTGGAGCGTGTGTGGTTAACCGGCACACTAATATGGGACCAATGAAGGATGGCAATGGGTAGCTCGTAGATTATCATAGATCAATGGAGCATGTGTCGTTAACCGGCACATTGATTAGGTGATAAACGTCTTCGAGAGTACCAAGCTAATTTGCATGGTTATTCACACCTTGTTTGTGATCCTCGGTATCCCAATCACAAACTAGAAGGGCATAATCGAGATTAAACATGCCATTGAAAACTTCAATGAATCTCAAAAGATCTAGGAATTTCAATTCATTTAAAACCTAATTTTAATTTTCGTTTTTCATGGTGGAAATTGGTAAATCGTCATTTACCTACCTTCAAATATTGTGCAACTGGATTACGGCATCCCTCTTCTGAGTTGTAGAATATTGTGTTGGGTCCTAGCATTAATATTTCATTTTGGTGTTATATTAAGGATTGAATCAACTAACTTGAATTTCTCCCATTTTTGTAGATGTCAAATTCTAACAACCATGGTCTTCTTGAATCCTTTGGAAAAAGCTTTCCACATGAAGATGATGTTCCACGATTGGATTGCGAAAATGAAAATCATGCTTCACTTCCTCCTGAAGGGTTTTGTGCATTCTAACACTCCTAAGGTGTACATGCAACCCTAGAAACCTTGGATCTATGTTTTACTAAGATACATGCAAAATTTTTATTTTCCAAGGTTCTTATCCTATCTAGCATAGCATGGGGAACTTTTAAACATAAATGTTAGAAGAAGAACATACCTTTTGTGGTTTGGATTCCTTGAGAACCTTGTGAGCCTAGCACCTCAAGTGTGATGCCTCAAATGCCTCACACAACACCACAACACTTGGAATAACCTTGAGAGAAGTTCACTAACACCTCAAAATCGGATTGCCCTCTATCTTGTACAAGTAGTCGTCGATTTTGCTTGCATAGGGTTCTTTATATAGTTGTGGCACAAGTAGGGTTACACCATGTAAACCCTAATTGTCATGGCTTTCCATATTCCATGATTCATGGGTTTGTAACCTCCATGGATTATCCATGGAGCACCTTATGGGTTTTCACCCAATCCATACAAACCATGGATCATTAGCCCACTATACAAGAATAGATGATTATACAATCAACCCCATATATTTAATTAGTCTCTTTTTGATCACTTAATTAATTCCAAATTAATTCTTTGATCAATACTAATTAAATAATATTATTAATATATTAGAACTTATAATATATTAATAAACCTTAAGTGTCCTTTCTCTCAATTTGGTCTATCCAAGTATTGAAATGCCATGCAACCCAAATGGACCATGCTAATCGGGTCAAGTACATTCCAGAAATAGTTATGAACTTAGACACCTAATCCAACAGTCTCCCACTTGGATAAGTCTAATAACTATAACTGCAAGAATGACTTCAGGAACCGATCAGCAATCGTAGCTCTTTCAAGGTCTCGCGGAACTGAGATGATGATGATACGCCATTTAAGATAAGTGATCATATAATCCTCTGTTCGAGATATCAGCTGGACAAATACATGCAACAATGTCTTACTTATTCTCCAACAGTTTGTTTCCCGATTTCCGATTTGTTTGACATAGAACTTAATTGAACACATCAACTTAGTTCTGACCGGGCCCGGTACATGGGTCAACACAAAATCATCGAGGGGCCCAGATATCGCTTCTAATCCAAGAAGGAACAGATAAACTTCGACTCATATGTTTGTTCTACTACTTGTTGAATCATACACAAAGGCACGTTTTATAACATCGAGTTACCAATGCGTTTTCGTACAATCAATGTATAACCAACTCATAGGCAACAAGTCATATCTCTAGGTTTGAAGACTTATATGATATTACCGTCTCGCGATCACTCGAGATAAATTCCATGAAGTGATACCAGCGAGCATGGGTTGAATCCAATACTTATGACTTATGAGCACTCATGAGTGTCGTAGCAACACTTTGCTATGTCCAGTACCTTGGACATCTAAAAGCCAACTCATGACAACCTTGAGGCATATCTACTTCCTACATATGACCGACTGTGGAGAATTTGAATACTATGAGATACAATAACATAATTATTCTAGAAGTCAAAACATGCAAAATGAAACGATAGTAAACGATTGACAAAAGATAGCAAAACTTTTACTCATAAATAAACACAACTTTTATTCATCATCAAATGTCAATTACACTTTACACATTTCGAAGCTATCTAACTCCTAAAACTAATATCATCCTTCAGCCCTATGTGCCTCGCATGCTGGAGATGCTTAACGCTGCTCAGTCCCTTCGTGAGGGGATCTATCGGGTTCTCATCCGATGATACCCTCTTTGCCACGAGGAGTCCTTCTTCTATTCGATGTCTGATGAAATGGTATTTTCTGTCGATGTGTCTGGATCTCCTATGATCCCTTGGTTCCTTGGCTAAGGCAACCGTACTTTCACTATCATAGAAAATCTCTATAGGCTCCTTTATAGCTGGTACAACTCCAAGGTCTCCAATGAAGTTCTTTAGCCATATAGCCTCATTTGCTGCCTCGCTTACCGCTATATAATCTGATTCGCAAGTTGAATCAGCCACTGTCTCCTGCTTGGAACTTTTCCAAGAAATTTCTCCTCCGTTTAAGGTAAAGACCCAGCCTGACTGTGAGCGGAAATTATCCCTATCAGTCTGGAAGCTAGCATCACTATACCCTAATACCCTCAAGTCATCACTCCCACCGAGGGTAAGGACCCAGTCCTTAGTCCTTCGCATGTACTTGAGAATGTTCTTTACTGCAGTCCAGTGAGCCTTGCTAGGGTTCCCTTGAATTCTGCTGACCATGCTCAACGC